TATATACATATATATATATATATATATATGCATCCGGAAAGTATTGATAGCGCTTCACTTTTCCCACACTGTTTTTATGTAACAGCCTTATTCCAAAATTGATTTTTTTCCTCAACATTCTTCACACAATCCCCCATAATGACCATGTGAAAAATAATTTTTGAAATTGTTGTAAATTTATAAAAAATAAAGAAGGTGAAAAATCAGATGTACATCAGTATTTACAGCCGTTGCTCAGTACTTTGTTGATGCACCTTTGGCAGCGATTACAGCCTCAAGTCTTTTTGAATATGATGCCACAAGCTTGGCACACCTGTCTTTGGGAATTTTCCCCCATTCCTCTTTGCAGGACCTCTCAAGCTCTATCTGGTTGGATGGGAAGCGCCGGTGTACAGCCATTTTCAGATCTCTCCAGAGATGTTCAATAGGATTTAGGTCTGGGCTCTGGCTGGGCCACTCAGGGACATTCACCAAGTTGTTGTGAAGCCACTCCATTGATATTTTGGCGGTGTGCTTTGGGTCGTTGTCCTGCTTTTCATTCAGGATGTCTCTGTACATTGCTGCTTTCCTCTTTCCCTCTATCCTGACTAGTCTTCCAGTTCCTGCTGCTGAAACACATCCCCACAGCATGATGCTGCCACCACCATGCTTCACTGTAGGGATGGTTATTAGCCTGGTGATGAGCGGAGCCTGCTTTTCTCCAAACGTAAGGCCTGGCATTCACTACAAAGAGTTCAATTTGAGTCTGATCAGAGCAGAGAGTTTAGTTTCTAATAGTCTGAGAGTCCTTCAGATGCCTTTTGGCAAAATCTATGCGGGCAGTGTCTTCCGTCTGGCCCCTCTACCATACAGGCTTGATTGGTGGATTGCTGCACAGATGGTTGTCCTTCTATAAGGTTCTCCTCTCTCCACAGAAGAGTGCTGGAGCTCAGACAGAGTGACCATCAGGTTATTGATCACCTCCCTGACTAAGGCCCTTCTCCCCGATCACTCAGCTTAGATGGCCGGCCAGCTCTAGGAAGAGTCCTGGTGGTTACAAACATCTTCCACTTACGGATGATGGAGGCCTCTGTGCTCACTGGAACTTTCAGAGCAGCAGAAATGTTTCTGTAACTTTCCCCAGCCTTGTGCCTCTAGACAATCCTCTCTCTGAGGTCTACAGACAATTCCTTTGTCTTCATGCTTGGTTTGTGCTTTGTCATGCACTGTCAACCCTGGGCTGTTATATAGACAGGTGTGTGCTTTTTCAAATCATGTCCAATTAACTGAATTGAGCACAGGTGAACTCCAGTGAAGCTGCTGAAACATCTCAAGAATGATCAGTGAAAACAGAATGATCCTGAGCTCAATGTAGAGCTTCACGCCAAAGGCTGGGAATACTGATGTACATCTGATTTTTCAGCTTTTTTATTTTGAATAAATTTGCAACAAGTTCAAAAACTCTTTTTTTCAGATTGTCATTATGGGGGATTGTGTGTAGAATGTTGAGGAAATAAATCAATTTAATAATTTTTGGATTAAGGCTGTAACATTAAAATGTGGAAAAAGTGAAGCGCTATCAATAGTTTCCTGATGCACTTTATGTATACACTGTGTAATGCATTTAGTACAATATACTATATATTTTGTACATAGTACTCATATATATATATATATATATATATATATATATATATATATACATACACATACACACACACACACACACACACACACACACACAATGCATTTAGTAAAATGTACTGTGTATGGTACATTGTGCTCATAGTTGCATGCACACACACATGCGCGCACACACACACACAATGCATTTAGTACAATTTACTGTATATTGTACATTGATAGTGCATGCAAATATGAGTAAATACACACGCGCACACAATGCATTTAGTACAATTAACTATATGGTACATTGCACTTATATTTGCATGCACACACATACACACACATGCGCACGCATACGCACAGACACACACACATGCAAGCACCCATGCACGCACGCACACACATACACAATGCATTTAGTACAATTTACTGTGTACTGTACACTATACTCATATTCTCTCTCTCTCTCTCTCTCTCTCTCTCTCTCACACACACACACACACACACACACACACACACACACACACACAGAATGGAAAAAACTGACAAAAATCAAGAAATAGAAACCCATAGATTACATGTAGTGTCCATTAACTGACAAGCTACACGAAGGCTGAGATTTCCTCTGCAGTTTTGGACATTATCACATCAGTTGATGCTGAATTGAGTCTGATGCACTTACTTCCCAGCAGAAGATTAGTCAGGAGAGCTGTTAGCACTGCAGAGATCTTCATTCTCCAGTCTGATGGACTCCATGCAACTCCACTTCAGTCTCTTCACAGAAAGCGCCTGTGGATTCCTCTACTCTTTTTTTTTTTTTTCTCTCCGTCTCTTCTGTGTAACCCGAGACGGGACACGCTCTGTTTTTACTTAGCGTTCACCGTCTCTCCTCCCTCTTTGTGTTAAACTAAACTCTACACTGGGAAAAGTTGTCAGTCCTGACTAATTAGAGAATGGAAATAAGCAGTAAATGAGGTTTAATGTCAGCGAAACGCTCAATAACATCTCTTATTTCAGACAACTGTACAAAGGTTTGTACAGTTTTGATCTAAGATATCTTTCCTTTTGCAGTTCTAAGGAGGGAATTAAACATGTAAAGGTCATTCCTGTAATATCGGTACTCAAATCTAGAAAAGAAGGCAATATTCTGAATAAATTTTTGCTCAAAATATTAACAAATTCCAACTCAAATTTACTGAGAAAAGCAAACATTTGCAAAAAAACCCGAAATCAAAACACAAAAATCTATTGTGACGCTTATAAATGAATACGAGCAGAAAATATTACAGTTTTATTTTTATTTTTTTTTGTACATCTAGGTAGTTTAAATGAGGTAAAAGGTGCCCTGTCATGAAAATCTGGGTATACCAAGGCATAATAGAACAATAAGGGTGCTTTCACACTAGCACTTTCGGTCCGCACCCGGGTTCATTCCACCTGGATGACGCAATGGCAGCCATTTTGCGCCAGACCGCACACCACACACCAGCTGATTGGTGGAGAGGAGACAGAGTGATGAAGTCAATTATGATATGGGGAGAGTTAAAAGGCCATGATGGACAGTGGGCAGATTTGCCAGGGTTACACCCCTACTCTTTTCCAAGGACATAAAGGGATTTTTAACGACCACTGAGAGTCAGGACCTCGGTTTAACGTCTTATCCGAAAGACGGCGCTCACTGAGCAGTATAGAGTCCCCGTCACTATACTGGGGCATCAGGACCCACACAGACCGCAGGTTGGGCGCCCCCTGCTGGCCTTACTAACACCACTTCCTGCAGCAACCCAGCTTTCCCATGTGGTCTCCCATCCAGGTACTGACCGGGCGCAGCCCTGCTTATCTTCAGTATCTAAATGTGAGAGGTGCAGAGAGCTAGCTGCCGGCTAAGTTTTAAAGACGAAATGCAGCCATACGTACTTCTGGCTACATAATTTGCGCTCTCCAGAAATGTACATTTTCAGAATGAGCCTGTGTTGACATTCCTTGTAGTTTAATGTCAAGATAGAATATAAAACAGCAGCGAAATATATTTTAATGCTGGGCTCACATCAAACGTGTAGCACTGCGCCACTTGCTCTAGATTACTCACTGGTTGTTTTTTGCCTTACACAAATTTTCTGCTCGAGTTTATTATCTCAAACTTGAGGGAAAAATTGCAACTGAAACTAATTCTAGACATTCATGGATGGCAAGCGCATCACACATGCACATTCCATGTAGTTCATTGTCAATATAGAATATAAAACAGCATGCAGATTTATTATAATGCTAGGTTCACACCAGATGTGTAGTGCTGCATCACTTGCTCTAAATTACTCACAGGATGTTTTTCGCCTTGCAGGATTTTTCCACAAGAGTTTACTATCTTAAACTTATGCAAATGATGCAATGAAATAAATTCTGCACGTTCATGGCTAACACATCACACATGCACAGTCCGAGTAATTCACGCTGCCCATTTTGTATTGTCGTTGAACGTAATCTACCATGTAAACTAAATTTGCATTTGATTTGAGTCATATCTCTCGTGGGCCACATAAGATGACACAGTGGGCCATATTTGGCCTGTGGGTCTTGAGTTTGACACCCCAGGGGTAAAAAATAGGCCAAACTCACACAGTCATTCATCACCATGGGTAAAACCAAATAACAGCTGTGATTTGAGACAGAAGGTGGCTAAGCTTGACGTGAAGATGAAGAAAGGTCAGTCAACTGGAAGTGTTGTGAATCAGTCTGGAAGAGGACGAGTATCTGTCTTGTCCAAATTCACTGTTAGAAGGATGGATCAAGTCTTAATGTGGCGGCACGGTGGCTCAGTGCTTAGCACTGTGCGCCTCACATCAAGAAGGTATTTATACAGCTGAAGTCAGAATTATTAGCCCCCTGTTTGATATTTTATTTTTATTTTTTTTATATTTCCCAAATGATGTTAAACAGAGCAAGGAAATTTCCACAGTATGTCTGATAATGTTTTTTCTTCTGGAGAAAGTTTAATTTGTTTTATTTCGGCTAGAATAAAAGCAGTTTTAAATTTTTTAAACACCATTTTAGGGACAAAATTATTAGCCCCTTTAAGCTGTATATTTTTCTCAATAGTCTACAGAACAAACCACTGTTATACTATAACTTGCCTAATTATCCTAACCTGCCTAGTTAACACAATTAACCTAGTTAAGCCTTCAAATGTCACTTTAAGCTGTATAGAAGTGTCTTGAAAAATATCAAGTCTAATATTATTTGCTGTCATCATGGCAAAGATAAAATAAATCAGTTATCAGAGATGAGTTATTAATTAGAAATGTGTTGAAAAAAATCTTCTCTCAGTTAAACAGAAAAAATAAATAAATATACGGGGGATAATAATTCAGGAGGGGGCTAATAATTCTGACTTTAACTGTGTCATCATTTTTTAAGACATCTTTAGTCTATATATGCACAGAGTTAAACCTCTTTCTTGACGCAGAAAGTGCGAGTATGTCTGTGAACTGTGAGGTATTATAAAGTTGATGGGGACAACACTTCCATAGCAAACTGTGAGAAATGTTTGGGATTGGCTTCCAGGTATTTTAAGTTGAGCGGGTATTTGTTTTTATATTAGATTTTTTTTTTATATTTACTGTTGTACTAAAATTCAAAGGGGAAAAATTGAAGTCATTTATTACTTGATTGTTCAAGCTACCCCACAGAAGAGCTCTGTTTGTTAACAGAGTTGCTGAATGTTAAAATAAGGTGAATTAAATCTAGAATAAGGAACATCCAGGATCTGTTGTTTCGTTCTTCTTTATTATTTTTTTTATGAATTATAGAAGTATTGGATCGGCTTTCGGTATCAGTTGATACTCAAAATCTAATGACTCGGACTCGAGGGCAGAAATACCTGATCGGGACATTCCTAATATGTATTCATTCATTCATTTTCTTTTCGCCTTAGTCCCTTTATTAATCTAGGGTCACTGCAGTGGAATGAACCGCCAACTTACAGTATCCACCACATGTTTTACGCAGCAGATGCCCTTCCAGCTGCAACCCATTTCTGGGAAACTAATATATACAGTTAAAGTCAGAATTATAAGCCCCCTTTGATTTTTTTTTTTTTTTTTTTTTAATATTTCAGAAATAATGTTTAACAGAGCAAAGACATTTTCACAGTTTGTCTGATAATATTTTTTCTTCTGGAGAAAGTTTTATTTGTTTTATTTTGGCTAGAATGAAAGCAGTTTTAATTGTTTATTAACCATTTCAGGACAATATTATTAGCCCCTTTAAGCTATTTTTCCCCCGACTGTCTACAGAACAAACCATCATTAAACAATAACTTGCCTAACTACCCTAACCTGCCTAGTTAACCTAATTAACCTAGTTAAGCCTTTAAATGTCACTTTAAGCTGTATAGAAGTGTCTTGAAGAATATCTAGTCTAATATTATTTACTGTCATCATGGCAAAGATAAAATAAATCAGTTATTAGAGTTATTAAAACTATTATGATTAGAAATGTGTTGATTTAAAATCTTCTATTCGTTAACAGAAATTGGGGAAAGATGTTAACGGGGGCTAATAATTCAGGGGGCTAATAATTCTGACTATAACTGTATATGTTGTATGGCACTGCGTAAAGGGCGTGAAATAAAACAAGATGATTAGATGATATCAATGCAAGTTATTGCTCAAAGTGTTCAAAATTGGTACAGAGAGGTCATGTTTTAATCTTCTTTGGTCTCAAGCAATGACGTGATGCGATTTCGCAGGAAGAATTCACCAAGCTTGAATTTTGGAAAGTCACAATTTCACATGCTTATGAATGAAAGTCTATAGGGCAGAAAATTTAGTGTGACGGGAGCTGAAGCATCGGCAAAGGCTATGTTTTGATGCAACTTTTTTACCAAATGATCAAAAGGTTAAACAATAAAACTAGTAATTTTTCATTTGTTTTCACAGCCTTTTTTGCTCATGTTTACCAGAGTTGCCAACTATAGGACATGCACTGCACTATCTGCTATCAAATTATGAGCTCACAATTCTGCTAAGCAAAAAGCTCAGAACTGGAAGATGAAAAATGTGCTGAGGTTGTTTATTTGGTCTGCTCTTGCTCTGTTAACAGGTTAAATCAGCGGGTTGTGTTGATCTGGCTGCAGAAGGAAATGTGTTTGTTTACAGTATCGTTCTCTTAGTGCTTGTGACTGGAGTCTGACTGTTTTTCAGCTGATAGTGGAAACAGATGTGCAACAGCAGGAAAGCACCCACTGCCCTCCTCTGGGGAACGCCAGACAGTGCATGATAGAAAAACCTCACATCACTTTTAAAACCCAAGACAATCACAATGGAAGTAGATTTTAGATTTTTGGTGAAAAGGGAAAACAAATCCATGCAGGGATTTAAATAAACCGCAATAAACAAATGCATGCTTAAAACAATACAGTATACACTTTTGTATATACAGTATACACATGCTTTTATAGCTTTAGAATAAAAATAAATCGAAATGAACACGCGTATAAATGCATGCTTAAATAAATAAACAAACAGCTCAATTGTTTTTATTTCAAAATAGCTTTAGAATAATTTTTTTTTTAATTGAAATGCAAATACATGCACAAATCAAAATAAACACATACATAAACATATGTACGCTCATAAATCTGCATGTTTTGATTATAGTTAATACACATTCAATGCTGTAGTTGCAAAACAGGCTCATTGTGAAAACGTACCTCTGTATACATTTATGGAGAGCGCGAATTATGTAGCCAGAGATGCGTATGGCTGCATTTTGTCTTTAAAACCAATGTGGAACGACGCCACCGTAGGCTGCTTTTTTTTTTCGCGCTACCGCCTGACCGTTTACCTCCGTGTGGACGGCTTTTCCGCTGTTACCAGTTTGTCTAGAGGCTTGCAGTGTATGTCGATGGACTTTGGTGGGATCGGTCAATCAGTCAGTCAACAACGGCCTCTGGTGGATTTACATGAGAATAGCAGGTCTAAATGGCACTCGCAAAAGACATTTGTGATCTGAAAAAGCGTACACAGCGACCTCTGGGGGATTTACGAAAACAAACTGCAAAAAAACGTACCTTCTGGGACGTATTTCGCAATCTCCAGAAATGTATATGGGGTACAAATCAATAATGAGCCTGGGTTCCGTACATCAGTCTGTACTCAGAGCTGATCATTTTTTATACTCGATTACAAATCGAAAGTCATGTTTGATTATACATACAAATGTACTTTGATTGTCAAACAACATGGACGAAAGGGTTAAGATTAAAGCATGATCAAATACAGAGTATGAAGAACAAAAATACTCCAGCAAAGTACTGATCAGATTATTGCAACATAAGCTCATTCTGAAAATGTACCCCTATATACATTTCTGGTGATTGCAAATTATGTAGCCAGGTCGGTATGATGTTGTTCCTTTTTGCGTTAACAGCTAACCTCCGTGTGGACGGCTTTTCCACTGTTACAAGTTTGTTCAGTAGCTCGCCGCATACGTCTGAAGATTTGAGAGGCGGAGAGGAGTTGACTGCGACAATAGGGTTTGAGTCCGGCAAAGAACAGGGTTTGAGGTTGGCGAAGAATGGTTCCAGAAAGCAGGTTAGAAAAAAACAAAAGCCAAAAAATTAAATATACCAGTAAAACAGGGTGAGAATGTGGTAAAATCTGAAAGCATGGTAAAAATCTGGTGAGGGCTTTTCTTTTTCTGGATTGCTTTTGAAAACACTGTTGGTTGGGTTTAGGGAAGGTGGATGGTGGGTCAGTCGTTCAGTCAGTCAGTCAGTTGACAGCGGCCTCTAATGGATTTACGAAAACAAATACTGCATAAAAACGTATCTCCTGGGACGTATTTTGCGATCTCTAGAAATGTGTATAGGGGTACATATCAACAATGAGCCTCGGTTGCGTAAATCAGACTACTCATACAGTAGCTGATCACTTTTAAATACAGGGTTGGTTCATTTTTAATATTAGTTACAAATCCAATAATCATGTTTCATTATATATACAAATGTACTTTTGATTGAACAACATGGACGAAAGGTCTTAAACATGATCAAATACTTGCTGGCTTATCTTTTAGGTTTTTGATTCTGCTAATTTAATTTATGTACTCGAAATATGTACAGTAATAGCAGTTCTGACAGTGTATGAAGAACAGAAATACTCCAGGAAAGTACTGATCAGGTTATTGCAACACAGCGGTCCATTTCACGCTACCAGCTGACCACGTACCTCGGTGTGGACAACTTTTCTGCTGTTACCAGGTTGTCCAGTGGCTCGCCGTTTACATTGAAGGACACAGAGAGGTGTTGACTATGATGACAGGGTTCAAGTCCGGTGATAAACAGTTTCAGATAGCAGGTAACAGAAACCAAGTAAATAATTGGGTGAGAATGTGGTAAAATCTGAAAACACGGTACAAATCCAGTGGTCGCGGGGGCTTCTCTTTTTCTGGATAGCTTTTGAAAACACTGTCGGCCTCTAGTGGATTTATGTGAGAACAGCAGGTGCAAATGACACTCTCGAGAGAAATTTGAGACATCAAAAAGTGTACACAGTGACCTCTGGTGGTTTATAAAAACATAGCTCCTGGGTCGTATTTGGAATCCCAAAAAATGTGTATAGGGGTACATTTTGAGAATGAACCTGGGTTGGAGTTTAGTTTTACAGTGCACAGTGTAATAAATAAATCTGTATAAAATCTGTTACAAAATAGCTTAATATGATCCTCAGACATCTCCAGCTCTTCTGTTCTCCGCATCTGTGGGCCTAAACACATGAAACACCATTTTATGCAGTTCATTTTCAGACAGAATTTTGTACCAGCCATAGATGTAAAGAAAGTGTATATAATATGCATGTGAAAATATCCTTACCGTGCATGTATCCTCCTTAATGATGTTTCTTTTGAAAGTGGTAAAGCAGAATATGTTTATCTTTTTGTTAGTATTAGTATGGCTTTTATTGATTTATTGCAGAAAGACTTACCTGATATTTCAGTATCTTGAACTTGTTTTCTGATTATGTACATTTTTATTAACAGAAAGCAGAGGGAAAAGAAAAGGCCAATCCCCGCTCCTATGATGGCATATTTGATTTCTGAAGCTCAGGGGAGGAAAACACGATCTGGTTAGGATGGTTGTCGGTTCTGGATGGGATTTAGCTTGTGTTTGAGTATCGTTTCTTACCTGGCTCATCACTTGAGGAGTCCTCTCCTTTTACAGATTTCACCAACAGGCAGTCTGGAAAATATCAGTGACCGTTTTACATTCATCAGATCAGCATATAGTTGTTTGTTGTAAGATGCTGAAACGATATACAGTTGAAGTCAGAATTATTACCCCCCCTTGAGTTTTTTTTTTTTCTTTTTTAAATATTTCCCAAACGATGTTTAACAGCGCAAGGAAATTTTAAGAGTATTTCTGATAATTTTTTTTTCTTCCGGAGAAAGTCTTAATTGTTTTATTTCGGCTAGAATAAAAGCAGTTTTTAAATTTTCAAACACCATTTTAAGGTCAATATTATTAGCCCCTTTAAGCAATTTTTCCCCGATAGTCTACAGAACAAACCATCGTTATACAATAACTTGCCTTATTACCTTAACCTACCTAGATAACCTAATTAACCTAGTTAAGCCTTTAAATGTCACTTTAAGCTGTATAGAAGTGTCTTGAAAAATATCTAGTCTAATATTATTTACTATTATCATGGCAAAGATAAAATAAATCAGTTATTAGAAAGGAGTTATTAACACTATTATGATTAGAAATGTGTTCAAAAAATCTGCTCTCCGTTAAATGAAAATGGGGGAAAAAATAAGTTAGGGCGTTAATAATTTAGAGGGCTAGTAATTCTGACTTCAACTATACAGGGTTCAACAATAAGGACTGCCCAATGTCCAGGGGCCAGTATGAGAGATGCTCGGGACAGTAGACAAAATCGTTACTGGCCCAATCGGGTCACTAAATTTCAATTTGCCTGCTCTTATTTGTCAATTGCATGCAAATACAGTCTTAGAGAAACTATTTGTTCTTTTAAGTCTTTGAATGCTGCCTTCTCTGTGAAGTTGTAAACACCATATTGCTTTTCGTTTTCTTATATCTGATTGGATGTTTTAAGCACTTTTTTCCCCATAACCTGGCAAAAACCAGTACAGCAAAGAGACTGCAACCTGACGTCACCTCAAAATATGAGGCTAATAGAAAATGTCTGTTGACATGGGTACAAGACGATGTGGAGTACAAATCGAAGTGATATTTTACTTGGTTTGCCGTCGCTTTTAAGTCAGTCACTATTTGTTTTGCAATAAAATACATGCACATTTTCCATACTGCTATATTTTACTGCTTAATGTTTTAACATTTCTAAAATATTTAAATTGTAGATTCGCAGAAATTATTTTTGACACATTATTTAAAATATGTGGCTAAGAAATAGCAATTCACTTTTTTTTTTTTTTTTTTTGGTGGGGCCAGTGAAAACTTTGGCTGGACAAGTAAAAATCTGAACCACTGGTCCAGTCAGGCCAGTGGAAATAATCCTTAACGTTGAACACTGCTATATAATGCGCAGCCCTAATTCAGGGTTATACATGTTATTAATCATGGTCCGCTTCTTTGAATGCAATAAAGACCAGGTGGAAGTGAGATTACATCAGTGATTGCAGCATCACTTCCTCTTGCTAACACACTACAACACTGAAAGATGTTGTGGTGAACTCAAAAATACAACCGAATGTCACCAGGTATTACTTTCTTCTAGAGGAGATGCTTTTCAACATATTTAAAACCAAAAGTTCACTGTATGTTTCAGTACAGCTATATTTATGATGCCACTAGTATATGTTGAGAACTAACAAATAGTTTATATAGTCGATGTCAAAATTATTCACCCTCCTGTTTCGTTTTCAAACATTTCCCAAATAATGTTTAACAGCAAGGAATTTATGACAGTATTTACTATAATATTTGTATATTATATGTAATCCTCCTAATTTTATTTCAACTAGAAAAAAAGCAGATTTTAATTTTAAATTCAATATTATTGTTACCTTTAAGCTATATTTTATTTGGATTGTCTTGTCTACAGAACATACCACTGTTATATTTGCCTAATTAACGTAACTTTAAACAAATTAAGCCTTAAAGGTCACTTTAAGCTGAATACTATAGCATCTTGGAAATTATCTAGTCAGATGTTATGTGCTGTAATCATGGCATGGATAAATGTTATTAGAAATTATTGATTAAAATGAAATGAGTAATTAAAATAACATGATGTCAGATTGACGTATTTTGGTTGGAAATGAAAATTCAGTTGATGTCAGAATCCAACATTAGTGTCCAACTTTGAACAGACGTTGAATTTTAGTCACTTTCCAATGCAACCAAAAACCAATCAAAAATCAACATCTAACGAAGTTACAGCTTGACGTTGTGTGGACGTTACCATTATGACGTCTATTAGACGTTGGATTTCGGTAGTCATACCTGACAGGTAAATGTCAGTATTAGACGTCAATATGACCTTAGATTAAGATGTTGGCTCGACGTTGGATTTTTGTTCGTTTCCTAAAATCAACCAAATAACGTCAAAATAACATTGTCCTTAGATGCTGGCTAGCGTTTAATTTTGGTCACTAAATCTAACCTAATATTACCGTTGTATGATGTTGTGTGCCTTCTGGGATTAAGGTCAATATTAATAGCCCCCTTTTGAAAAATATATGCATATATATTTAAACAACCGTTCTGTCTGGTTCTTGAATCTGATTGGCTGATAGCTCTATGATATTCCGCAATATCAGGACTCCTAAAGCCTCCTCACCTTTGTGTTTTACTCCGCCCACATCAATAAATCAATAGAGCAATAAATTCACTACAGTTTCACAAATATTGCAGCTGTTGGACAACATAATGTACTTTTGAGGCTTTTTTTAGACGAGAATGTAGTTTAGATTACAACTATGCAAGTTATTTATAAGGATAGCACCTATTTTAAATATTTATAATTTTGGAGATTCAGCAGGTCATACAGAGCAGAGCAAAGGCGGTTGACATTCTGGCCATCGCAAAAGCAATAAGATTCAATGGACAGCCGATCGCTTTCACTCCAAAATGGTGGAATCCGGCGCTGTTGTTGCAATGGAACGTTCTATTGAGTGTCGCCTCTTGGTCATTCTAAGCTCTTTGCGTCAGCTGCAGATGTGAATGAATGGCGGAAATAAGTAGTTCCTCTTACAAAAGGGTTTTTGTGACTCTGTGTTTGATTTTCATTTTATACACACGATTATGCTGTCAAACTGTTGTATAAACGCAATATCACACGAGTAGCAGTGAGATAAAGCTGTATATCATCACTAGTGGCACACTAAGGCACTCGGCCTGCGGCCTCAGGCCAATGCACGCCTTCCATCAGTGCCGATATACAGCCATATTGTACTGCTACTCGTGTATACCGGTAGTGTGTGTGTGTGTGTATAAATTATATGTGTATATATAGTGTATATATATATATATATATATATATATATATATATATATATATATATATATAGTGTGTACACACACACACACACACACACACACACTATATATATAATGAAGTACTGAAGCTGAAAATTCATCTTTAAATCACTGGAATAAATGATTAAATGAAATTATAAATGACTTTTGAACAGTTATTGTATAGGGTAACAACATTGCACAATTTTACAATGTGTGCTGTATTTTAAAACATTTAAAACCAATCATACTGACCCCAAACTTTCGCCCGGTAGTGTATTTATATATACCGATTATATTTTTTCTGGTTGTCTACAGAACAAACCAGTGCTTTAAAATAACCTGGCTAACTTACCTATCTAACATAATTAACCTAGTTAAGTTAAATTGTACTTTAAGTTGATGCTTCAGAATGCAGCAGCACGAGTGGTCTTTAATTAACCTAAAAGAGCACATGTCACTCTGCTGCTCATCCGTTTGCACTGGCTGCCAGTTGCTGCTCGCATCACATTCAAAGCATTGATGATTGCTTACAAAGCGATTTCTGGCTGCGCCCCTTCTTATCTGCTCTCACTTCTGCTGATTTATAGGCCCTCCAGAAACTTGCGTTCTGTGAATGAACGTCGCCTCGTGGTTCCATCCCAAAGAGGGAAGAAAACGCTTTCCCGAACACTCGCGCTCAATCTGCCCAGTTGGTGGAATGAACTCCCTAACTGCATCAGAACGGCAGAGTCACTCGCTGTCTTCAAGAAACGACTAAAAACGCAACTATTCAGTCTCCACTTTCCTTACTAATACACAATTCCCTCTCTGACTCCACTAACTACAAAAAAAAATAATAATAAATTACTAATGCTTTCCTTCTTAGACTTTACACATCTAAAACTTGCCTACAGCACTTATTCTTTGTTGCTCTTATAGTTGTGTAAATTGCTTCCTTGTCCTCATTTGTAAGTCGCTTTGGATAAAAGGTTGGCTAAATGACTAAATGTAAATGTAAGTTGAATACTGGTATCTCGCTATACGAGTATAAAAATATTATACACCGTCATCATAGCAAAGACAAAAGAAATCAGTTATTAGAAATGAGTTATTAAAACTATCATGATTAGAAATGTATGATAAAATCATCTCTTAGTAAAATAACACGGGAAACATTTTAAAAATGAATGGCATATATTTAGACTTGACTTGTCAGTGCTTCAAATACTAATAAAAGCAAACATTGTAGCATCCTAGCTTCCAGAATGACTTACCGATAATGAAGATAATAAAGCAGAAGAGTGAGCAGCATGTTGTGTGTTCAGGCATTCTTCAGTCTTTTTGACGTTCGTCTCTAACATCGCTCTTTTGTACAAATGTGCTGAGGCTTCAAAAATGAACCATTTCCTGCAAGTACACCAAGTGGTTTGTAGATAAGACGTGCTGATGATAACACTCATGCATCTTTTTAATATTACGTAGGAATGCATTTTAAACAGAAATCCTCAGTACAGATGGTCATAATTGTTTTTGTGTTAATGAATGTGATTAGGTTAAATTCGGGGTTAAATGCCTGATTTAGGCAGCAGTCGTTGATTTGAGGTGTACATGCATTGCTTTGTGTGTCAGATCAGTTGCACCACTTTGTTTTGAAACTAGAGCTCAGTTTCTGGGATATGTGATATGAGACCATCTGTGTTATTGCGTGCGTGACTAGACCGCTGAATCAAATGTGTAAAACGCATGCTCGGAATATTACCACACTTGAGTTTTTGTGCAGTTCGTGTTTTGTTTTTGAAGTACAAATATATAAACATTGAATCAACGTGTGTTTACTTGAGGAACAAATCATTGTAGATATATAGAAAATGTGTGAAGAGTTGATGGTTAAATCGAGTACAGATATTATCTGTCAGTGTGGTTAGAATAAATAGATGCTTTCACTTTGAATTGTTAATTACAGTTGAAGCCTGAAGTTTACATACACTGTAAAAAAAAGGAACATAACCATTTTTTTTTAAATCTCTGATGGTAAGTCATGCTAAACGTTTACTATTTTAGACCTGTTAGGATTACCTAAATAATTTACATTGGCTAAATGCCAGAATATTGAGAGATTTTTTTGAGAAGTTTTAAAAAAATTTCTAGACAATCAGAAGTTTTCACACATTTTCTTGGTATTTTCTTAGCTTTGCTTTTAAACTATAACTTTGGTCAAGTGTTTTGGGTATCCTTCCACGAGATTCTCACAATAGTTGGCAGGAATTTTGGCCCATTCCTCCTGACAGAATTGGTAAAACTGAGTCAAATTTGTAGGCTGTCTTGCTCAGTCAAGCTTTTTCAACTCTGCCCACAAATTTTCTATAGCATTGAGATCAGGGCTTTGTGATGGCCACTCCAATACATTCACTCTTTTGTCCTTAAAGCACATTTGAACTAATTTGGCAGTGTGCTTAGTGTCATGGTCTGTTTGGAAGACCTATTGGTGGCCAAGTTTTAATTTCCTGGCTGATGTCTTGAGATGTTGCTTCAGTATTTCTACATAATGTTCTTTCTTCATGATGCCATCTATGCTGTGAAGTGGACCAGTCCCTCCTGCAGCAAAACAGCCCCACAACATGATGCTGCCGCCCCATACTTCACAGTTGAGATGGTGTTCCTAGGCTTGTAAGCTTTGTCCTCCAAATGTAACACTGGTCATTATGACCAAACAGTTCAATCTTAGCTCCATCAGACCACAGGACATGTCTTCAAACATTAGTCTTTTCCCCAGTGTCATTTAGCAAATTATAATCTATCTTTTTTGTTGATTCTGGCTTGTTGATTTTCCCATGTTGTATATAAATAAATATTATATATATATATACACACATATATATATATATATATACAAAGTTAAAAGCATAAGTTTACATACACTGTATAAAAAGGCACATAACCATTAAAAAAAGTCAGATGTTAATGTGACTAAATTTTCTCTTTTAGGTAAGTCAGGATTATATCAGTTTCTGTTGTGCTTAAAAGCAGAATAATGAGAGAGAGATTTTTTGAGAAATTGTTATAACTTTTCTTGAACGTCAAGTTTACATACAATAAGATTATTCTGCCTCTGGAAAAGCTCAGATGATGATGTCAAGGTTTTAGAAGTTTCTGATTGGCTAATTGACAACATTTGAGTTAATGTGAGGCACAACTGTAGAATAGTATTTAGGGAAAACTCAAACACGCTGCTTTCTTGAGTGACAACATGGGAAAATCAACAAGCCAGAATCAACAAAAAAAGATAGATTATAATTTGTAGAAAAGATGTAGTAATACTAAATCATTAGTCAAATAACTGAAGTATGGCTGCAGCTTTTAATAGTTTCTAGATAGTTGGTGTAAATGCACAATGGACGACAGGCGTCCATCAGCAGGTTCTGTTACCCGGTTAAAGGTCTTGAATAACAACTTTTTTTTTTTTTTTCTGGAAAGTATGCAGACTCTTTAGGGGGCTTCAGTAGGTGGTCAGCAGGGCATGACAGGCGATTGTGGACAAGCGCTAACAGGCTGCATAACAAACACACACACAGGATTAATGGAGCATTCAGAAAGTGCTGAACACGCCAGCTCATGTAGTTTTTCTTTATTCTGTTTTCATAAACTGCATGGAGACATTGACCATAGCAACTCACCATAGATAGATAGATAGATAGATAGATAGATAGATAGATAGATAGATAGATAGATAGGTAGATAGGTAGATAGATAGGTAGATAGATAGATGCATGGATAGATAGATGCATGGATAGATAGATGCATAGATAGATAGATAGATGGATGGATGGATGGATGGATGGATGGATGGATGGATGGATGGATGGATGGATGGATAGATAGATGCATGGATGGATAGATAGATACATATATGGATGGATAGATAGATAGATAGATAGATAGATAGATAGATAGATAGATAGATAGATAGATAGATAGATAGATAGATAGATAGATGCATGGATGGATAGATAGATAAATATATGGATGGATGGATAGATAGATAAATATATGGATGGATGGATAGATAGATAAATATATGGATGGATAGCTAGTGCTATGAATAGATAGAATGATAGATAGATGCATAAATGGATGGATGGATAAAACGATGGATAGATAGATGAATAGATAGATAGATGGATGGATAGAATGATGGATAGATCGATGGATGGATGGATCACATAAGAAAATACCATTTGCACTGTTTGTATAAGTGTATATATGGAATCTTTTGCTATTTGCATGTTTAATTTGCTATAAGACTGATGCTGTTTTCAGTATAACGTGCCGCTTCTTTTGCCAAACACACTTGTGAATCTCCATCAATGCCTTCAGCCTGGTGTGTGTCCAGTAGCACATGGTGGAGAAACAACACCATCCTCCAAAATGCTTTTCATAATCTCTTAAATCACAACAACAGTGTTAGAAGATCTTTGTCTGCTCTATTTATGTCTAAACATGTGCAGTCCGGCGAGCTGATGGTCTTAAAGCCACACTCTACTTTTATTTTTAGGCTCATTTTACAGCTCTGCTAAAGTTAAACAAGTTGAGTTTTATTATCTTTTAATACATTCAGCTGATCGCGGGGTCTGGGCGATAGCTGCGATAGCCCTTTTAGCTTAGCTTAGCATAAATCATTGAATCAGATTAGACCATTAGCATCTCACTCAAAATTGTTTTGATCGTTTTCCTCTTTAATCATTGACTATTCTGTAGTTACATAATGTGGCTTATGAAAAAAAAAATCCCCAACAAAGCCCTACAATTGCGCCAACACTTAAAATCGGCATAAAATCATTTCGACTGCGGCAGCCAATGATACGGCAGCAAAGTTCCTTGTTTGTTACGCCAGAATGCGAGTACAGTTCTTACTGTAGAATTATCTGCCTACAAAACAGCAACTACAACAGAGTCGAGCTTTAAAATTTCTCAAATCAAAACAAAAATATTACATTATCAATAGCTTGCTAATGGTCTAATCCGATTCAATGATCTATGCTAAGCTAAGCTAAAAGTACTTGCTTTAGATGGTAAAACTCAACTGTAAAATGATTATAAAAGAAGTCATGTCTTCCTTTAAATTAATCAACATTTCCTTTATCATATATGTTTATTCTTTATGAGATAATTATTTTATTTGTTATTTATTTACCATGAGTCTTGTGTATCGTGAGAATTAATGGTTGCATCACAGACTTGGTCTAATGCTGTGTGATTTGTTTTCATCTCTGGGATTTGTTGACATCTCGATGTCTCAACTTGAGTCCGCTTTGCTCCAGATATTCTTCCGTCTGCGTTTGACGTGTCATGTGAGTCTTTTGCAATGATTCAGTGTTGTAATGTGTTGTTCTGTACTCTGTATGTTCTTAAATGATGTTTATATCCACAGATATGAACTTGAACCAAGAAATTATCTTGTTTATAAATGTTAATCAGTTAAATATTTGTTGATATTTTACATTATATGCATTATATTTTAGGTAATCTGAAGCACAGTTGTATGTTTATGTGGGGAACAGACTTGCATTTAAATACATTACTCAAAATCTGCCTGAATAGCTGTGAGCATCTTTGAGATTTATTCTCTCTTTTGTTTGTTTGTTTGTTTATTCATTCATTTGTTCATTCAATTTGTTTTTGCATTTAGTAATTTGTTTGTTCGTTGAGTAGTTTGTTGGTCCGTTCATTCATTCATTCATTCATTCGTTCATTCAGTAGTTGGTTCATTCAGTAGCTCGTTCATTTATTAATTCAGTAGTTCATTCATTTATTCATTCAGTAGGTCATTCATTTATTCATTCAGTAGTTCATTCATTTATTTATTCATTTTTTTTGCATTTAGTAATTTGTTCTTTCATTCATACATATTTTTTGCATTCAGTAATTCATTTATTTATTCATTTTTTGCATTCAGTAGTTTGTACATCATTTATTGCATTCAGTAGTTCATTCTTTCATTTATTCATTTTTTTTAATTTAGTAATTTGTTCTTTTATTCATATATTTTTTTGCAGTCAGTAATTCATTAGTTTATTCATTTTTTGCATTCAGTAGTTTGTTCATTCATTCATTCATTCATTCATTCATTCATCCATCCATCAATTCACTCATTCATTCAAGTAGTTCATTTTTTTTCATTAATTCATTCAGTAGTTCATTTATTCATGAATTTATTCAGTAGTTCATTCATTCATTAAATAGTTCAGGTATTCATTATTTTTTTGTATTTGTTTGTTCATTCATTTCTTGCATTCAGTAGTTTGTTTGTTCATTCATCCATCCATCCATACATTCATTCAGTAGTTTGTTCGTTCATTCATACATCCATCCATCCATTTATTCAGTAGTTTGTTTGTTTGTT